TCCCTCCTAGTTAAATTTACCCTTTTTAATTTTTCATATTTATTTCCTATCTTATTCATAGCCTTTTCCTTTTTTGTTTTCTTTAGGTCACAAGCAGTTGTCCAAGCATTTCACTACATATCGTACTGTGTATGACTGTGTACGTGACAAATAAAATTTGAATTTGAATTTGACCCTAAACAGCCTCGACACAGTTTGCAGCACATTTCAGGCTAATAGATTCACATTTTTAAGGTATTTTTACTGCTGTCAAATGTAAAATTAGGTCACATTTGACACATACCGTGTGTGAAGGGTTAAAACGGTAAAACGTTCTTGTACGTTTTACTCCCCGCCGGGTGGAAAGCCGACACACCCAAATACACGGTTGCATCAAAATGCCGAAACCCGGGATCGAACCAGGGACCTTTAGATCTTCAGTCTAACGCTCTCCCAACTGAGCTATTTCGGCACACGGTGTTGAAGGTTACCAGGGTCTACAAACTTTTAAATTGGCTACAAGGCAAAAAAAAAGATGTTTTCATTCCTGATGCGTGATTAGTTTGAGAAGAGCTTAGCCTGTCTTAACTCGTCGAGTTTAATACGTGACGTGATTTAGCCCCTCAGTTGTATGGTTCCGTTTCACCCGCGTAAATATACTTAAACCTACATTATGCATTCTCGTTAAGTAGAACGTGGACTTATTTCAGCTTGGTTTTAATTATCTTCCGAGTTCAGAGGCGAATGCCTTTAAATGAGTAAATCGCTGCAGTCACATGTGAAGTCAGTTTGGTTCAAACATGCATAAGCCCCAAATGTTCATTATGAGCTGGAAATGGTGTAATCCACTAAAGTCTATAATGTTGGCCACGTGACAAAAAATTAGAAATTTAAAGTTTTTGTCAAAATGTTCGCAAAGACATTGTGTGGTGGACCACTAGAGGGCTCCACTCACACCCAGTGTAAAGAAAGTCTGTTGCTGTGTTTTGGAGCGAAACGTAGTCAGTTCTGTTGTGATGAGGAATAAAGCAGGAGTTAGAATCGAGAGCTCTCGTGTCGTCTGTGTTTACCTCCACAATAGCATTTCTAAACATACTAATTACATTAAGAAAGATAATTATTTCAGGGTAAAATAAATACTGGGATCAACTTTTTTACCCATCTAGCCACAACACAAACCACTGCTGAGCAATGATGTGTTTTAACTTTGTTAACGTCAAAGCTTGTAAAATCAAGTTAAAACTGAGGGTTATCTTCCAGTTTACATACGTTATAAAAACCTAAGCAAGGTTTTGAGCTGCCACTTGAGAAAGCATCGGTTTAAATGTGAGAAAATCGTTGATGCTTACAAAGTGTTCACTGCGTTTCCAAGTGCTGGGCAGCAGGTTGACTGATCCGCATGGAGAGTAATTTGTGTGGATGGAGCTCAGATGGATGCTCTCCAAGATAAAGACAATGCTGGATACCTCCCACGCAGTCCATGACATGCTGGCTGGTCACAGGAGCATGTTCATTGAGAGACTGAGATTACCAAAAAGCACCACTGAACCACGCAGGAAATGATTCCTGTCCGTGGCCATCTCCCTGTACAACTCCTCCAGCTAATACACTGTAAACACTGCAAATCGATCAAATATGAAGGAGGTTGGGATGGCTACAAGAAATGACTCCAGCAAAAAGGATACACAGTTCACTGTTAGCATCAGAGCAGGCTAATAATTTTCATACTGGTAATTTTTGGTTCATGTGAAATCTCTTCTTCTTCTGTGGTTCACACCACCCTCACCCTCATAGAGCAGAAACATTCCTACATCCGTATGCTCTTCGTGGACTTCTCATCTGCTTTCAACACAATGATCCTACAGACACTTGTTGATAAATGACTGACTCTTGGACTGAGCTCTACAGGGACACCAGTATCATGAAGGACCCCACTCACCCAGCACACTCACGCTTATTTTGCTCTTCTCAGAAAAGAAGTTGCCAAGTAAAAAAAAAAGAGAAAAATCAAGGAACTATTACTTTATCAATATGAATGTCAGCAAAGTCTCATAATGACAGAGATGTAATGTTGCAGTATTAAATGCCCCCCCTCCCATACACGCACACACTCAGTTCTTCTTATGCTTCTGAGACTTTGTGCTGTCCGTTTGCCTCTGGGCTGCTGACAGATGTTTCCATGCATCCAAAATGAGCGCCAGCGGTATGACGATCCACAGGGTGTTCATAAACACAAAGTAGAACCAGAAGTAGATTGGATGTCCCAGCTCGCTGTGGGCGTAGCCATCTCTGTGCTCTGTGAAGAAGTAGAGTACCGCTCCATATGCCTGGCCTGAGTCAGATTACGTGAGAAGACAAAATAAAGCTACAATTAAGCAACAATTTATTTCCACCTGAGGTTGGCATGAAGATAGCTTCTGTCCCGTCTTACCTACTGAAATGATGAGCTGCAGGAGAAATCTGTAGGGCTTATTGGTTAAAAAGGCATAAACAGCCCAAAAGCTGAATGGACCCCACAACCAAGCAGTCACAGTCTCCATACAAACAGTAAAGTTATCAGCACTAGAGAGAAAAGAAACATCAATCGCAACTTTTTAAAATCATTTTTATGCACAAAATTGAGAGCAGAAATGAGCTTACATTGCATATCGACTGTCTCCCTTGCAGTACTCTTTCCCTGTGAGAGAAAAACATAAAACACATTGACCAGATTTTACACACACACGCACACACACACACACACACACACACACACACACACACACGACAGGTAGGTTATGCATTTTTCTAAACACATGTTCTCCGTTAGTACTCACACAGCTGTGACAGAAAGCGCTGATCTCCTGGAATTATATCATAATATAGCGAGAACCAGCCCTCGATTACACAATGGATGAAGCCACAAACAGCAAACCAGCACACAGCCAGGCGCCTCCATGCGCCCAGCCTGCTGGTGGCCTGGCCGGTGATCAGCCAGGTCACCAGCATAAACAGCCCAGACACAGAAAACAGAAACACCAGAATCTCTGACATCGACCGATCGTTGGCCACATAAGTGGGAATTGAAAGGTCCCGAGGCCAGTAAGGGTGATGAGATGCTTCAGAGGAGTCCATTATCTGTTTGAATACAGAAACATAATCAGCACTAGACTTAAAAGTGTAGAGTTAAACATTCTCTGTATTACATTATATTACATTCTGCTCTAGTTAATTCACAGAGTTAAAAGTGCAGCGTTTTATGTGAGAAGTTCATCGGTGTGCTTTTATCCTTACCGTAGATGCCACCAAATGGGTGTTCAGCTCCACAGGTAATTTGACCTAAAACACAGCAGGTCAAAGATTCACTGCTATCTAACATACCCGCGCACATAAACTCAAACGAGGAACTCCGTGCCTGGGGGACGTTACCTGTGGATCACAACAGCCAATCAAACATCTTTAAGCATAGAGCTATTGCACATGAGATCTACTGGCTCACTGATTGGCTCTTCCTCTCGGAACATGGACGTTGTCTATGACATCTACCAATGAAAAGGGATCAGCCCTCTTTTTCAAGGCGAAAGTCATACAGTGTTTTAGGGTAGGGTAGAAAATGGCCTTCAATCGGAAGATGCTCCATCTGATAATGATTTAGTAAGGAAATATTTACAGTTAACCTTTCACTCGCATGGACTGAAAATGACGAGAAACAAAATGTAGCTGAAGTAAAGCTCTCTTAAATATACAAACCTAACGTGGAGTGCACCCATGTGATTTCCGATGATCATTTGGTCTAAATAGGTTAAAGGAAAGACTTGTAATTACCTAAAAACCTTACATTTTACTTTAAAGTATACGAAACAAAATTTGCTCTTTACGGCATAGTAAGAAAAGAGTCGTCCCAAGCCGTGCCAGGGTTTTATCCCTGCCGTGACCCGGATTCGAACCGGGGTTGCTGCGGCCACAACGCAGAGTACTAACCACTATACGATCACGGCGCGCTACTGGGAGACATGCTCAACAGTGAAGCAGAAACGTATATGTAACTGTGTGAGCTGCGTCGTCGAAGAGTGGTTTGACGTCTCGCGGCAGACGACTGCTGTTTAAAGTGACGTTGCGACCGTGTGCGGATCTGCTTTCCGTTAAAAATAGTTTAATTAATTAATATTCTAATGTGAGTCCTGCATAAATAGTTTCTTTTTTAATACTGAGAGTCGTTTTCATCTTAGCTGAAGTTTTTTTAAGCTGTTTTTTTTAATCAGTTCTTCAGATGGTACCTGTCAAAGCTACAAAAAGGAGGAACAGTAGTAAATATTAAATGTCACTTAAATACTAAATATATGTACAAATAAGTCACAGTTTCATATATATCCTTCATCTATAGATATGTAGTCAGGGCCGTTATTGCTCCCATATGGTCTAGCGGTTAGGATTCCTGGTTTTCACCCAGGCGGCCCGGGTTCGACTCCCGGTATGGGAACTTCGTTTTTTTTTATGTTGGTTTTATGGTTTTATCAAATTTGGAACAAAATGTTTTGTATTCATACTTTAATGAGATTCGACAATTTACTTAATGACTTAGAAAGTCAGTGACTGTAAAACAGCAACAAAAATTTATGGGAAGGGTAATCTTAACAATATCTCAATATTATTGCTTTCGTACAGCGTTTCTTCGAGTCCATTTCCATAACAGTACATAGGATTCCAGGACTCATAAATGATTCAAAGTCACACTTCACAAGTGTATTAGCGATATGTTTGGTATTAGTATTTTCTGTACGTTTGATATATGAACACGTGATGTATACCACGTGGTTACGTGTCACATGACGGTACACGGAAGCACTCAACAGATTCTGTTCGGTTTACTCAAACGTTGTACATCAAAATAGCGGTAAAGACTACCCGCGAAGGAGGCTTAAATTGGCGCAGAGAGTGAGTATGGGTGTGTCAGAATCAGAGGAATCTTCTTTGTTACTGGACGAAAAGCTGCTTCGTTTCATGGAGCAGCTGGAGTTACTGGAGGAGAAGCGAGCCACTTTCAACTCTCTCATAGAGCAGGTACCTGTAGTGTCCTTGTTGATAAACAGCCAACATCAGACATTTAAGTTCAGTTTTTGCTCCCTAAGAATGTGTAGGTAAAAATATAGAAAATAAATCAAAATGTATATGGCATTTTAGGCTGTAGGTGTTATATAATGGGAAATATCTTAGTGTGGTATATTAACAGACTTTAGGGCTATGTTGACTGTGTTTAAATTCCATAAAAAGCCATATAAGGATTTTCAAAAATAAATTTACGCAAAAAAGGTTTGTAATAAAATGCTCTTTTTTTTACATTCTGCCTGTATAATTTGACTTTACCATTTTCCCCTCAGGGGTGGTTTTCTATGAGCAAGGCACGATATACGATGGGAAACAAACAAGTCTCTGCACTTCAGTATGCAAGTGAGATTGAGCCACTAGTCTGTGTTCAAACTAGGTGAGGAATCAGTAATTTTTATGAAAAATGAAAAGTCTGTTGATCACTTTAATTTGTTTAAAAGGCTCTTTTAAAACGTATATTTGTATGTAACAGGACACTGGACAATGGTGAGGTGGAAATCACCACTGAAAGATGTACACAAACGTGTCGTAAAGAGTCTGGAAAAGATCAGAGAGCTATAGAGGATATAGGACCTCAAGAAGAAGGTGATGCAGTATTAAAGATGTGTGTCGTTGATGTCTACTATTAACTCTGTTATTGATGACACTATTTGATTTACAAGGTGTCAGGAGAAGAAACAGACCAAAAAGAGAAATCGGAGAAAAAGAGGAAAGCGAGAGCACTGGTAGCGAGAAAGCTCCAGCTGGAAAACGTGACCAGAATCCTCAGCAAGACCCACTGAAGTGGTTTGGAGTTTTGGTGCCACAGTCTCTAAAACATGCACAATCATCTTTCAAGCAAGGTATGTTACATGCCCAAGGACATCTTAGTGTTATGGTTTCAGGTGAAACCTACTCTGCCTCAACTATGGATGAGATTATACTTTCAATGTCTGCAAATAGGCTAGGGTCTGCTGTCATCTGAGATGGAAATTTCATGATCGGATGGTGAGCACGAGGGTCCGTGCGAATGCAGAGAAATTACCTTATACTACACATGTCCCAGCTGGTTGACCCTACAGAAGTATAACAGGAACCATGTGGAGTAACATGTGACTACTTCTGGACATATATCAGATGAACCAGTCTTTGAATTTGATCCATATGTGCCAGTATTGCCATCTCAAAACAATGCAGCTAGAGAGATCGCAACCACAAACACAAAAAATATACAAATCTACAAAACTGACGATATGCATGTATAGCTTTTAGGAAAAAAAATGCTACAGAGAAATAAAACACAGGAAAACTGAAAAACATAAAGAGAACACGTGCAATATAATCTGCAGCACATAAAACGCCTTTTTTATTATTGTGTCTATTACCATGTAATGCAAGACTCTAGATATGCAAACCTTATGCATATGAATCAAGGTTTGCTTTGTGCAGCTTGTTAGAGATGAATAGAGGTTTCCAGAGTCCTGTGTATACTCACAGCACGATGGCTACAGCTTCTGTTGCATAAGTAAATTTGGATATGGGCAAAGATATTTCTTGAAGGTAGGAGAAAGCTCCTGCTGTTCTGCTGCTCCACCACTCACCAATTTAATTGTTGTTTTCTGTCATTACAGTAATAGAACTGTCTGCTGAGATCGCAGCACTCCAGGCTGCAGTTTTGAGCGCCAGACAGGAGCTGAAACACAGCTTGCAAAACAAGCACACTCCAGGGGAAAGGCTCAGCAACTCAGCTGGACAAGGTAGCAGACATAATACTTCTGCTGAGTCAAAGCAGGCGGAGGCTGAAAAACAGCTTTCAGCCAAGGACAGTCAGTAGATGATGCTTCAGGGGCTCGTTAACTAAAAAGAGAGCTTCCTGGTGGAGCTGGACGAGCAGATCCCAGCAGTTCAAGCTTTCTGTGGAAATCATTGGTAATTTATTTATTTCATCTCTTTTTTTCCTTTTAATTGAGATGGATGTGTTTGTGAAAATGGTCTTATTACACATGTTGTAAAATCATAAAATGTTAGCAGAACCTGTTTAAATGTTTTCAATAAATGGCAAGCAGTGCTTTGGCATAAGGCTGCCTGTTTTTGTGTGTGTGCTGTAACTAATTACTTTATTAATTGTTAATAAAAGTGTAACTTTATTTTATCAAACACAATCCATTAATTAAAAAAAGTTCAGGGTTGGCAGCTTGTGGAAATGTTTCATAGATGTTGTTTGTGAAATAGATTAGAAATAGTATATTCTCTGCATTTTCTTTCCAGACGTATTGCTTGTGGAGCCCAAAAATGCTGAATACTAAAATGTAAAAATATATCGAGTAATTATATATAAAATATACAAATGAACCAACAATTTTTGAAAATGAAATCACATTAAATTAAAAAATATACCTCAATCATGCACTATTAAAAATGTCTGAACCTCTTTGTGTTGACTACTACGTCTTGTATTTATAGCCTAACAACAAGTCAACACACATTTACATCCCGCAAAACCTCGTTTAAAAACACACGAAAAGCTGAAAGATGTGTTTTGTTGTGTTTACTAAATATTACGGAAAGTAAAAGTCACCGTGATTTATTGTCTTTAAAATGCGCTCAGAATTTTCACACCCACCATGTTTCATATGTAAAACACGACACGATGCTATGTGCAAGTCAGTAATGAGTGTTTTCTATTTATATTATTACCAAGCCAGAGACGCAGACCTAATTTACATTTTTGGGGAATGATGCTGTACATCCGGAGAAACTCTGGCTGTTATCATACCGACATGAGCATAATTGAAAACATTTGACCGAGCGCCACCACCCTCCGACGCCAGCAGTTTCACTGGGGACAGCCGAACATTACCGGGAACTACCGAAATGGGAACCGAAAGTCCCGTTTATTGTGTGTACTTCCTGGTCCAATTATAATACTCCCTATATGCCTCCGTGAAACGCAGCGCTTTGCGTCCGAACGACGGATGGGAGCGCAGAAACAACGGATGTGGCCTCAGTGTTATTATTGATGTGTCCAGACATCCGCAGCAGACTGTGCAGCCTGATCGTGTCCGATTTTGGACGTGCGAGCGACGCAACTCCTGCTCGAAATACAATTTTTCTTTTGTCTGCGCAACTGGGAGCAACATTTGTGATGTGTGATAAGGGACTGAGAAGTAAACACTCAGGCCTGCGCTCATGATCAGAGGCGAGGTGAGATTGATACCTCGGACTCAGATTGCCCTTGATTGCAAGTTGATTTCACTCCGGAGCGGAGGAACTGTCTGCTCCAATGGCGTCAGTTTCCAAGGTCTCTATTCTGGATTACTTTAACATTGTGTTCGAAGGGGAAAATGGGAAAATCGAGTCCAACTGTAAGGCTTGTGGCACCAGGATCCAGGCGAAACGGAGCGTCACGTCCAACTTCGTAACGCACCTTAAGGTAACCGAATAAAATTGTACATGTGGCTGTTAACATCTGGCTCATCTTGTTCTTGTCAGGATCAGCAGAAGCAGCTGGCTCTACGACAGCTCTGGAGGATTAGCTGTAAAAACCTGACTGTACAGGCAGTCTGTTGCTTCTCTGCAAGGGGAAACAGAGTGGAGGGGAGGGATGGGGGTTACCTATACCTTATCATCTCCTGCAGAAATGTACTCAGCATGCTGTGTAGAGGTATAGAAATGAACTATAACAACCTCATGCTCCTCTGTCTCTCTCCATTCAGCGTAAGCACCAGGCTATGTATGATGACTTTGTCAAAAGGAAGGATATGAAGAGAGAGGGCTACTCCTCTGCTTCCCTGCACAGTTTCAACGCCAATGGAGGGAATACCCGCTACACACTCCCTATTAGTGCTGGAGTGGGAGGAGGAGGTGGAGGAGTAGCAAGTGGAGTTGTTGGAGGAATGGGAACTCTTGAGGGAGGAGTAGGAGGAGGCTCTGGAGGAGGGGTGACCAAATTTGACAGACATGATCCACGTCAGGTGTGTTGTAGCCCGTTAGCGCTGGAGCTTGCAATGTTGCAAATGTAACAGATGATTTATTGAGACATTGCAGTAGAATCATTAGCTATTTTTAAAAAGTGCAATTTGTGGTGTTTCTTTTTAAACTACAGGTTCTGATTTCTGAGGCTATAGCTAAGATGATCGTGCGTGATCTCCAGCCAGTGTCCATAGTGGAAAATCAAGGCTTCAGAGAGTTGCTTCAGCTCCTGGAGCCACGTTACACCCCTGAGCCCCAGCATTACATCCAAAGCCAACTTCTTCCAGCCTACGCCTACCAGGCCCAGCTGGCCACCCGTCAGGCCTTGGCCTCAGCACACGCCCTTAGCCTCAGCCTGGATCTCTGGGGAGGATTATCTGGAGTCACTTCAGGGTAAGGAGGTAAAACAAGCCAGAAACTACAAAATGGGAACTTGGTTTGAATCCCTTTACTGAAGACTCCACTTCTCTCTCTCTATAGGTACCTTGGTGTCACCTGCCATTTTCTTACATCTGAGTGGCAAATGCGCTCAGCTCTCCTGGCGTGCCTTCCACTGACTGGTGGCAGCTCTGGGAATCGCATACTTTCCGAATTTGATGAAGTATGTCACTCTCATGGCGTGTCAGGCAGAGCATTTCGTGTTGTGGCAGACCCTCTCCTGCCGACGAGAACAAGCGGAAAGCCATGCTGCCTTCCCGGTTTTCTGCTTTCACCTCCTCTCGGTAACGGCCAAGATGGAAATGATGAAGAAGAGGTGGACGGTAGTAACAATGTGGAGCGAGAAGAGATCAGGAATGGCCACGGCGACGCTGGAGAAGAAGGAGAATGGGAATACACATGGGAGCAGGGTTTGGGCGTTTCTCGGGTGGACTGTTTCTCTCGCTCTCTTGAACAGTGTGTCAGGGAAGGGCTGCGCTCTTGTCCACAGCTCTCGTCCACACTGGCAAAGGCAGCCTGTTTCTACAACTACATTACCTCTGCCGTCCCACCTGAGAAGCTCAGCCAAGTGTTTGATGGTCCAGGGTTGATGATGGGGGGACAAGGAAATTTCCCAGAGGCAGCACAAGACTGGGCTGCTCAGCTTAAGGCAAGTTAACGTTAGGGTTACATATTAGTAATGTCACCAAATAAACAGATTGCATCAGCTTCAAACATTTAACATGAGCAGTATGTTAAGTAGAAGGTGCACAAAGAAAGTGTGGCTAGCAAAATAAATGCATAATACCATTAATTCAAGGTTTACATCATGACACTGAGATATGACCACAGTCTTGGTTGGCATTGTTAATAATCTTTATGTATTTGTCTGCTTTGATAAAGGTCCTTCGGCGGCTGCTGGACTCTGTGGATTTCCTGGAGGAGATGAGCGGTCCAGGGGAACTGGGGCTGGGTGGTACAGAGAGAGCCCTGCTGAGGGAGTTCACGGACACTCTGGAGCCCTTCACTGAGGCCTGGGATATGGTGCACGGAGACAGACACGCAGACGCACAGACGGACAGACATGTGTCTATCAGTCTCGCTCTGCCTTGTGTTCTCGGCCTCCGCAAGCATCTGTCCGAGACGTCCACCCCCCACTGCCCCTCCCTGGTTGTGGGCCTCAGCCAGGCTGTAGAGCGTCTCCTTGCCCCTATCCTGGAGAACCCCCTCTACATCACTGCCACCACCCTGGACCCCCAGTTCAAACTTACTTGGAGCAGTAACCCTGACTGGCACAGACAAGTTATCATAGAGGAGGTATCCAAACACTCCACAGCCTCCAGCCCCGTAAATCTCAACACAGACCTTCATCCACAGTCCCACACTCCTCCTGCCCCAGCTCCATCACCGATCTCCTCACTTTCTCGGCCCTGCAAGTTGTTCTCTTTCATCAAGCAGAGACCCACGACACAGGCCAAGAGCCTAGAACAGGAATTGGCTATCTACCTACGTGAGGAACCCACAGACGAGGAGGCTTTGCATTACTGGCGACGTAAAGCTATTGACTTCCCTCTGCTTGCCCAGGTGGCCAAGAGAGCTTTTACCATACCTGTTTGTGGTACTGTGGTGGAGAGCATTTTCACTACAGCTGGACGCTTCCTGCTGCCAGAGAGAGGCTGTGTCTTACCAAAGAACCTGGAGACGCTCATCTACCTCAAAGCCAACTACAGATTATTATGGACTTAGAGCTCTTTACACTTGCAGTTAAGTAACTTCTTGGATTCTAACCTCCATACCATTCTAAGGGAACCTGAGCTAGCACCATAACATAATCCTCATACTGCACATGATTTCATATCAGATAGAACGAATCACCAAGAAGAATTTCAGAGCTGCAGCTCATTTTAATCCTCAAGATCGGTTTTCCCGGCTACAGCGGGCGTGGATGGCTGTCTGCTTCCCCTCGCAGCCTACAGACTATCGCACCACATGCTGTGGACTGAGTTTGCTGGAAGCAGATCCATACTAAAGCATTTACTTTGACATTATTTTGCCTGATCAGGGTCTCCAGACAACCACAGATCTCCCGCTTTCTCATGTATCCATCAGTCAACACTGACAGACCAACAATAACCAGCTAGTCAAGTTTTGCACACTGTAGCAACTCGTGTTTTTTTAGCTTTAGGTTGTGATTCATTATTTCGATGCTATTTTTAAAGGAAGTCATCAACTGCTCAACAGTATGTTAATGCGCTGTTCAATCTTTGTTTTAACTATGTGTGTGTGCCTCATCACTGGGAGATGATAATAAATTAGTTTCACTTACTTTAACGCTGCGGGTGTGTGCAGTTTGCAGATGTCAGTGAATGCACATGTCCTCATGTGACACGCTGTTTGTTATATACGGTGGACCCCCGACTTACGAAATGAATTCGTTCCAGAGGGTCTTTCGTAAGCCAAAATTCTTCGTATTTATTTTGAAGAAGACATGGATTGTGCTTCATGTGTATCATTTTGACCCTTATTTATATCGTCCTCTGTCAATCCTTCAGAGGAGAGGTGAATTTCATTTCATTTTTATTATCAGCACCCCCCCCCCCCCTCCTTTTTTCAATTTCATGTGAACTTTGAGGAAGTGAAATGGGTTTGACCCTGTCTGTCACAGAAGACTAGCAAGGAATGACTGTTTGTGCCACGACAAAGATTTTTCTTTGTTGAACTTCACATAGATATTTTGAAATAATTTTGCAGAGCATCCCTATGAAGGAAAACAGGGAATAAAGTAGTGTGTGTTAGCCTTTTTTTGCTTTCTTACTCTGGGCTGGGCCTGCAGGGAGGCTGGGTAATTGCAATAATTCCATTACAGTTAAATTTGAGTCAGCAGGCAGGCAGCAGTCACATCCTGCACCCCCTCCCTCTTCCCTTATCACAGGCAACAAGCCTCACAAAATCTTATTTCTAAAGAACTGAGAAATAAATGTCAGGACTGCATGCAGCTACTGTACATTTGTTCTATAATACCACATTAAAGGGATGAAGCGCTTCAGTGCCTCAATTAAGGAGCTATGATCAATAAAGTGACCATAAACAACAGCATCAGTCAGTCTGAAGATGAACCCCTGATAGTGCTCTCACAAGGCTTACATCTATTTATTATAATTACCTGCAAAAAAAAGGGGAAACCCAGTGTAACAGTTTTTGTTTTTGAAAATCAATGTGCTAATCTGTGGGCGATACAAAGAGACCCCCCTCATAGATCATAATTATCAAAGATTGCTGTGATCTTAATGGTTATCACCCCGGGACGTCTCTGGATTTAGATATGGAACTAGATATCTGTGTGGACGTGCCACTGTGTTCATCTTTGAAGCGCGTGTTTTCCCAGCTTTCCATGGGTGTGTTGTTGTTGTTCTTTGTTAGTATATGTGGAGCAGCTTGAGGCACCCACCTGCCCCTCCCCAGCTGTGACAGCTCATCCATTTGAGTTAGACGACTGGGCTGGGATGCAGCCCTGTTGGTAATTGCCTCTGAAATGAATTACTTGGCAGACAGTGAGACCGGGGGAGGGGGGAGGAAATTGTAATTGAACTGCCCCCTCACTCCCTCCCTGGTCCTTATACCTCAAGTTATTACATCTGCAGTGCAGAAGGACATTTTCCATCCGCACACAGACACACAAAATGCTCACACCCTTACAAAACCAATTCTTCCCTCTCCTCTGCACGATGGCCTCAGCAAAGCACCATATTGATGCAGGGTGATTTCATAGATTGATTGTTCACGGGCACATGCACACTAGGCCACTGCACACTCTCGCACTCTTATTCACAGCACAGAGACAAACCCTCTTTTACACACTGAGTTTGCATTTGCTTGTGCTGCTCTGCTCCAAATACTCTCCTATTTGAGGTGCCCTTTAGCTGGCCTTCCTAATGCCTAATGGGCTGCAGGACATCGGAGTTGGCACAAACAGAAGCGGTGTTTAGTATCTTGAAAGCCCTGGTTACCCCGTACACACAGGCACGCACACTCAGCCAAGCAGTGTTATTAATAACCTGCCTGTTGCTGGCCTGCTGACAGTTAGAAAGCCTGATGGATTGAAAAGCACTCGTGCTTGAGGCGGCACATTTGTGCACGTTGTTTGGTTTGTCTTTCATTTTCTGGACATTGCCTAAATTATGGAAGAAATTTAAGGCTCGTCTTGTCCCTTTCACCACACGCACACACTGGCAGTCAGTCATGTTTGGTCATTTGGCCTTTTAATAGCCAGGCCACTGTAGGCAGGGGACTTAGTTAACTGAGCCACCTACCCCCTACCCTGGTCAGATATGCACATGTTTTAACTCCAACCTTAGCACACAATAGGTGCTATTTCTGTAATGCACTAGGGTCATGACTCCACTTATACCCTCCACCCCTCCCCATCTGTCTCTCTCTCTCCTTTTCACCCCTGCTCTTCATCCGACACCGTCACCTACTTGCACAGAATCATGGCGGACAGAAACAGCCGGTTCAGCGTCAAGAGGAAAGAAAAGAAGGCGGAAAGCAAAACGAATAGTGAGAAGGACAAAGAAAAGGAAAAGGTGAACGAGAATACGGCAAAAAAGCCAGAAAAACCCCAGAAGAAACCAGAGAAGGTCCCTGAGCAGCCAAAGACAGATGAAGAGAAGAGGAATGGGGAAAGTGAGGGGGCAGCAGGCGCAGACGCAAAAAGCAGTGATGAAAATGGGGAGTTTCAGCCTATAGAACTGCCTCCGTTTGAGATCGTCACAGGGTGGGTAAAATTTACTGCGTATGCCATAAAGGAGTTCAAAACAGGGTGTCCCACTAACCTGTTTTAGTCTTTAACACAAGCATGTTTTATCTTATAGATGAAGTCCTTTCTATGTATAAGTCATATTGTTCTAAAGTGCATGTTCTTTACTTGATTTCAATGAGACAGGAAACTGGTGACTTGCACATGCTGTTATTAGCGTAGTGGTAAGAATAGGGATGAGTCACGAAGTGAACACTGAAGCCGGCCCCAGATATATCCCCCTGCCTAGCATCTGTTTCCCGTATCTGTCCTATGACTATGTGCTGTCAAAGCAAAGCGCCATCAACATTATATGAGATCTATTTTGTGCGATCCATCTGGCTCTCCTTGTGCAGTAGAACAGTAGATTATTAAGTCCGGGCAGGTGGAGTTGGCTGGTATAGGTTCTTTAGGCCATAACGTTCAGTCGTTGGCTCTTTATTTTTCATTTTATTTATTACTTTAGTTTGGATCATCACAAAATGAGCAACCCGTGCTTAGGCAAGCAAGTGCACGTCTGCCCACCTGGAAAGTCATTTGTGACTTTTTCTCACATTGCACTGTCATGAACCACAATGAGAGGTGACAGAGGACAAACCTTTTGACCCTGATAATGAGAGCAGTTTCTGCCAGTAAACCACTTCCTTTTCGATTCACTCACAAGGCAAAAGGGCGTCTTTGTTAAAACTCACACTTTTACTCTACCAGGGAACAGATGAGCCCATTCTACTTCAAGTTTCAGTTCAGGAATGTGGAGTACTCATCAGGGAGGAACAAAACCCTCCTGTGTTTCAGAGTGGATGCAGCAGGAGGCAGCGCAGAGCCTCTGAAAGGTTACATGGAGGACGAACATGCTACCGCTCACGCTGAGGTGGCCTTCTTTGAACAGGTAATGCCATTGTGCCCAAATGTGAACTCTAGTTTTCTCGTTTCTAACTTCATAATACAAACTAGACTCAAACCTCGACTCCCACATCTGTAGGTTCTCCCTAATGCCTCTCTAGAGTGTGATGTCACATGGTATGTATCATCTAGTCCCTGTGTGGCCTGTGCAGCCAAGTTGGCCAGCATCCTCCAGCAGCGCAAAAAGATGCGTCTTTGTATATTCTGTTCCCGTCTCTTCGAGTGGGAGGAGCCAGAGATAGTTGAAGGGCTTAAGGGTCTGGTGAGAGCCGGCTGCAAACTGCGAATGATGAAGCCGTCTGACTTCCTGCATGTGTGGGAAACGTACGTGGAGAAGGAGGATCAGAGCTTTACACCCTGGGAGGATTGTCAGGAGAACTACAACTACTATATGGAAAAACTGGCAGATATCCTCAAGTAGATGTGAGTCAGTGTGTGTGTTGTGCATGCAGTGAGCCACCATGCTGTTTTTGGTTCATCACAGGTTTATTTATAGATGGTAACTTGGTTTTCCATGTGGATTCTGTCCTCTTTCTTGTCACTGCTACAGATGCACGGACCTCCCCACCGACTGATCCACAAATCGCACTACTTGTGAAATTCCCACTGGCTGAATGCGTGTTTCTTGCAGTCACACGGTGCAGAATGTTGTTAGTTTATGCACTCTTGGCAACATTTTATACTTTTTATTAACACAATTCATGTGGAAACTTAAAATGCTTGAATTTTTACATAAATACATCAACTAATCAACATCCAAGTGGTTAGAAAACGAAGCAAGAAGCAAAGAACAAAAGTGACATTCATCGTTACGGTAAAAATAAAGTTTGGACAACACCACAGCCTGTGTTACATCTGCTGACATCTGCTGCTTGCTCGGAGAACTGAAGATCTAACTGAAGAACAACGAATAAATTCTCCTCCACGTCATCGTACATGTAAAATATATACAGCAACTCAAAATGAACAGTGGTTATAAATGATGTTCAGCTCATAAATAATCTTTTTTCTATTTAACAGTGCCTTAAAATCCAAATTCATTCAAACAATGTGAATTAAACGATGCATAAATCCTCAACAGTTTTGTGCTTTTTGGAAATGTGTGTATAAAATATCTGTTCATGCATATTTTATCATATGTTTATTTTTTTCAGTAGCTGTTTTTTTAAAACTATCTCGCCCTGAAGAGTTTCCAGCTGTCGGGCCATGACAGAGTACGTCTAAAACGAAAACCTTTCACATCAATCGTAATGATCTTCAGCTGAGTTTCAGATGTCCTGTGACTGCCACATCACTAGATCGCACAAAGATGTTGTTTTCTGGTGTGCACTGACCATTAAAGCCTCACAGAGCTGAAGTACGTCTGCTGACTCATTGATAGGCCTGTTGTTGCTGCAAAGACTTCGTCATTCATTTTAGAAAAGAACTCAGCCCACCGTTGGTTTCTGTTGTTTCCTGGTTGTCAGTCGTTGCAGCTAAAGACCAGGTTTGTGGAAAAACAGAGAAATTGTGTTTTATGTTTTAGAAACGCTGACACAGGATCATCATCATCATCACCACAGATTAAAAAAATAAGCGCATTAGCAAAGTGCATTTGTGATTTAAACTTTAATACCTTGGTCCTCCTGCTTGGTTATTGGTAAGGGTGTTGTTTCACTGCAGACTGTGCCATTCTCCTCCTCTTCTTCTGTTCAGACGGATTAAGAAAGAAGAGAATCAGCATCTTTTACGACAGCTGAGCGCTTATTTAAGTATGTCAATCAAATCTTCTCTGCTTACAGCGATTTTCTTACTTTTCAGTTTCAGACTTACTGCAAAATATGACATTTAAAGGAAGTATTTTGTTTCTCCCAAGGAAGTGATGTATTCTCAGTTTCCTCATATTACATAGTTACAAAAGCAGCAGATGAATCAACCATGATAACGACTTCTTCGAAAAAGGACTTATGTGCTCACTCATTACGAGATTTATTTATTTTTACCTTTAGCTGGTGCATTCAGAGAGGCATCAGTGATGTACTCAACCAGTGGACACGGCACATCTGCAGTAAGAGGAATAAAGAAGTTAAATACAGGAAGTCACACCTAAACTTTTATGTGCAAGTCGGTAGTTTCCCAGCCTTTCTTTTTTTTTTGTTTTTTGTGGCGGCCTCTATCTACAGCATACTTGGAAAGGGCGACCAAAACCACGTCACTGACATGGTGCTAACTTACCAGTTATCTTTAGCTCGGCCATTGTCGGAAACAGGTTGACCTCTTCCATTTTGTCATCACGACCATCTGTGTGAAAATTAACAGCTCAAGTTTTTGTGATACTTGTATTGATTTGGACATTTATATAAGTTGGGTGTCACCTTAGTACTGTGCTGATTTTGGATTCCATTAACCCTTTAAGATAATAGTTTATCTTTAGCTACAAAATGATTCACTAACTCACTGGTACGTAGTCTGTTTAATAATGTCGAGTGGGAGAGATGCCCAAGAAAGACACTTTGAGAGCAGTGCGAGGGTAAAAGTGCAGGCTGAATAGATAACATTTCTGCACCTGTCCAACCAAATGCAGCTGCAGATTTAGGTGCAAATCGTTTTTCTAAAGGTTTTTTATTTCACTTTCATTCATTCTAAAAGTTCTGATGTTGGTTCTTACAGAGTTTTAGAATTTGCACAGTCAAAAAGATAAGAAAGCATACTTGGTTTGCGGAAGACTCTCAGGGCCACGCATCCTATCAAGACCGCAGCGATACCAAAGACGATGCAGCCAGAGATGGAAAGAAGCACCCGCCTCTTTAACACTAAACATTAAAACAAAACAAAGCACAAGATTAATGACAGAATATTATTTTGAGAGAAGATTCATAACTAGCAGAGCTCAGTTGTACTTACGAAGGTTCTTGGTCTTGAAGGAGTCACTGGATTTTGAGTATAAGGGTCTCTCATCAGCATGTGCACAGCAGGTGTAAGTACTCTGGTCGGGGTCATTGCTGGGAGTTACTGTATGTGTCACATTGAATGAATCGATTCGTTCCCCCTCTTTGAACCTATTAAAATTCAGTTTATTGAACATCTACATTACTACTGAATTTTCCTATAGGGCAGAATCTACACAGGGCACTAATAATTATGAACATTGTTATATTACCATGTGTAATGCATCCAGTTGTGCGTGCTCTCCTTTACTTCACATTTTAGACTCAAGCTATCAGTGGAGAAGACGTCTGACCAGCCAGTTAGCAGGACTATAGAAGCCTTTGGGCGCTCTGTAATAAACGCAACCAAGAAGTGAATAACGAACATTCAAAACCAGAAGAACGAAAGGAGGAAATCAAAAAACGTACCTTCAACGCTGAGCTTTATTTTGTTACTGTAGCTTGAATCGAAGACCCTTTCTGTTCCTCTGCTAACTTTGCATTTATATGAACCAGAGTCTTTTGTTGCCACAGAAGTGATGTTGTGTTTGCTTACAGATAAGTCTAACTCACTGCCATCTGGAAGCACAAACCAATATGTCCATCCAGAGGAAACATTAACGTGACAGTTAAAGGACACCGAGTCCTCAGAGTGCATCAAATTATGTGCCGGATTCTGCTCCAGTGTGACTGTCGGTTTTGCATCTGAGGGTTGATAAGAATCAACAATGAGAGTTGTACAAGAGCACTGAAATACAAGTCAGACGGCGTACCTGATCTAAAGGTAAGACGACCATTAACTAGTCTGCACTGCTTTAAATATCCATTTTCATAACGAGAACCCTTCTCTGCCAGGATGAAAAAACTTTTTTATTTGAGGTAGTTACAGAGTTACACAATGATGCTGCTCCATCCCTATGATGCTACAGTAAACACAACAACATTTTTAATGTATTTTTTAGTGTGTAAATATAATAATAACTTTATAGGACTTCATGTGAATTAACCGCTGACTTCCTGAAGACTTTATCACCTTTGCATTGAATGAGGTTAACATGGGTGTTTATGTTTTTATGGCTTCTCTAATTTTCGAGCCAACCTTCCCCCTCTGGTGTGAACATTGCATATGTAAACGGGTCAACACTCTCATAGTCTAACTGTTAGCAAGAGAGTCAACAGCCTTACATTTGCAACCTTTTAAACCTTTACTTTAAAATTACAGCTAACACAGCAAAACTGAAAAAGACAAGTTTCAATGAAGAACCGTGTCAAAAATCAGAAGAAGAAAACAAATCTCACCATAGACATGAAGATTTAGTGGAGAACCTTTGGTGCTGTAGACGTCCCTGCTCTTCAGTTTTCCTGAGCAGCTGTAGTTTCCCCCGTCTGAGGTTGAAGCAGAGGTGATGGAAAGATTTCTGTCCTTATCTGAATTATAATGCTGGACCTCAGTGCCATCTCTGTAAAATGCGTATGTCCAGTCAGCGCTGTCCTTCTGCATCTCACAGCTCATATTTACACTCTCAGTGGGGAACACATCTGGCCATTTGGTTACCAGCTTCAAAGTTGGAACAGGAATTTCTAAAAAATAAAATATAAGAGACTTGTTAATCACTTTACAAATCATTAGATTTTCTCTGTTTTGATTCTCCCCATAATAATACCCCAAAGTATCTCAAATCACATGATTTCAAAGTGTCTTTCTTCAGCTCACCAGAGATTTGTACGGTCCGCTGGTCACTGAGTTCTGTGTTGAATCCTGTTTTGTCTCTTTTGGCCTTGCACTTATAAACTCCCCCGTTTAGCAAAGCGAGTCCTTTCATTTTTAAACTGTTGCTGTTGTTGGGAATCGATGCTTCATCTTTGTACCAGTCATAGCTCCATCCATCGGAGTTTTCAACTTTGCATTCAAAGGACATGTTTTCTCCAACGTAAAGCTTTTTAGCATCTGGCTGTTGAGTTATTGTAGGCTTAGGCTTGTTTTCTGAACAGACAAAGAAGAAGTAGTGTTTTTTTAATTTTAGACAGAAGCAACTGAAGTGTTCATGAAAAAGGTTCTGAAATGAAAGCAGGAACGAACCTGCTGGACTACAAACAGATATTCTGAAGAAGAGTCAATAGAAACTTACGTTGCACTTTAAATTGTTTAGCTGCACTTGAATCAGTGATGAAGGCTGGATTTTGACCTCTTGTTGCTTTGCATGTATACGATCCCTGATCTGCTGTTCCCCTAATTTGAACTTTAAGTTTGTCTGATGATTCAGTAACCTTACTGCCATCTTTGTACCACAGGTACGTCCATGCAGACTGGACACTGATGGCACAGCTGAAGGTGACCGCTTCTCCAGCAAACATCACATCGTATTCTGGATCTCGTGTCAGTGTGAGAGTGGGTTTCTCAGCTGAGGGGATATGAACATGACAATCAAAATTACGTGGGAGCTAATGTGTAGCTAGTGACGTGCCTCAAACAATTACTCTTGTATTTTAATATAATATTTGATATGTTTTATACCTGAACTTGAAAAAGTTCCTTT